AAACGTAACTCCCCCCTTTTTTAAACGCCGACAAATAGTAATTTTAATGTGACTTCTTAAAGAGATTAAAAATGATAGATACTTAAATTGAAATGAGAATGGTTAAATTAGAAATAAAAACTTATATTTTGTATTTATCAATAAAATGCATGCTCTTGGTGCATTCATGCATAGCATCCTCTAATTAATTTAAAGTAAAATAAGATTGTAATTACGTAATATATGACGGAAAACTTATTGTTGAATTTAATTTTTTCTTTCAAGAAAAACTGTAGATTAATATATCTGACTGGAACAATTTAGTTTACAGGATGAGGTATCGTAATGTGTTGTCATTGTAGCTATCGTATTGTTTACTTCTGAGTAGAAATATTGTTGTGCTGATTTGAGAAATTTACTTGTAGAATATAGTGTTAATTTTGGATGATTTGATTTCAATATAATATTATATATGGTTTCTTGATAATTTTTAAATATTATAATTTATGAAAATCTTTAAAAAAATAAATGAAATGCTAATATCATCTGACCATATTTCCTGACTTGGTAAATTCTAAACTATCAAATCAAGTCATGACAAAGGAGGTATCAAACAATTAAATTCAAATACTGATCAGAAAGAGTCATTGGGCTGATTAAATTAATTGATAAACAATATAAGTGAATGGTTCAATAATGTCTAATTATATTCTTTATTGTCTTATTCCAAAAATTTAGAATAACACAGGAGCTGATACATATCTAAATATCTCAATGAACACAGACGATTTTCTTTACATGATGACTGCAGTAACTCAAATGATTAATAACTGTCAAACTCAGGATAATTCTAGTGGGGGAGGCAAGAAGGCGAGCATTTGTAGCTATTTTAGGATATGAAACCACCTCTCTTTTCTGAATGAGTAAATCTAGTGAACGTTAAGAACTGGTTACTAAGAGTGAAAAAAATTCTAGATGGGTTATCTTGTTCACCATAGATAAGAGTTGAACTGGTAACTTTTACCTTAGAGAGAGACGCGGAGAGATCGTTGCAAGGAAAATTGCAGGAGAAGTTTCAAGGTAGAACCAGCTACTTGATACAGTGGGATGAGTTCGTGAACACATTTAAAAATCGGTTGGTACCACGTTCAACTAGAAGGTAAATGCATGACAAATTTATCAGACTTCTGCAACAAAATTAGTCAATTATGTAATATAAAGTTAAATTCACTATGCTTTGAAGGAATGCACCTCAGTTGATTCCAACTGCAAAGAAGTATCATAGGTTTTTGTCTGGGCCGAAAGATATGATTAGGCAGCCACCAAATTCTCTAAGAATCGATGATTACTCTGTCTTGGTGGAAGCCAGGAAGATTGAGCTAGATTTACAAGCTATCCAAAGGAGAGACCTTCAAAAAAAGAGGAATTCAGAGGGACCATATTTCCTCATGACTCTTAGGACATGTAGTCTTTTCAGTCAGGAAATGCATGTGCTAAGGTCAGATCCAACAGTATTGGGAACCAGACTAAATTCAGGAAGTGTTATAGGTGTAAAAGATCTCATAAGGGTGACTGTCTTTTTAAATCCAACACATGTTTTTTTTTCCCACCAACTAGAACATATGGCGAGAAATTGCTCTAACTTAGGATAGAGGGCTCCAGCTTATTCTAGGGACAGTTTCGCACAAACTTAAAGGAGGTTTGGCAGGCCTAAGACAGTTGAGTCTTAAGGATCGATGTCAAATCCAGATCAAATCAGGTGGAATGTTCAGCTTAGGGGTTATGCACTTTAACAACAAAAAGCTATGGACTCCTCTTAAGTTATCACAAATATGTTTTATATTTAAATTTTTTTTTATCAAATGCACTTTAATTATAGATTTAAGTACCCAACATCTTATTAATAATAGAGTTTAGATTTTGCTTTAGCGTATGATTTTGTTATTACTAATATTTTATTCAAAAAAAGAGATAAGCATCTTATTACTTATAAGAATGGATCTAATAACACACAAATTAATTATTTTCTTATGAAAAGAAGAGATTGTCGAGATTGTAAAGATTGTAAGATTATTTCAAGTGAAGATTTAAGTACACAACATCGTTTATTAGTTTTAGATTCTAAAATGAAGAGTTCTAAAATAAAGAATACTATGACTCGTCATCGTAGGATTAGATGGGGGAACTTAAAAAACACAAATAAAATTATTTTTATCAAGATTTCAAATTTTGGATGTTCATGATGAAACAAATACTATGTGGGATAAAGTAACACACACTATTAAACAAGTAGCAAAATATGTACTTGGAGATTCAAAAGAAAAAGTTTATTTAAATAAAAATAGTTGGTAGTGCAATAATAATGTACGTAGTGCAATAATAATGTAAATAATAATGTACAAGAAAAGATAAAATATAAGAAGTTATGTTATAAAATTTGTTTAAATGTACTGGGAAAAATATCAAACGGCCCGCGGGGAGCTAAAAGAACAATATGTGACGCTAAAAATTATGTTTTTAATGATCTTTATAATAGATTAGATACTAAGAATGGTGAAAAATATATGTATAAACTAGCCAAACAAAGAGATAAGAAAAGTAAAAATTTAACTTGAGTAAATTGTATTAAATATGATAATCAAAAAGTGTTTTTCTTAGAAAAAGATATTAAATATAGCGGTGAGTGAGTTATTTTGATAAACTTTCTAAAGAAATTTCTAAAAATACGATCAACCTTACTGATCTTAATATCGTTAATAATAATAAAACGTTTCATTTTTACCGTCGCATTAGTAAAAAAGAAGTTGAGGAGGCTTTAAACAAAACTAAGGGTGAAAATTCTATAGGACCTGATGATATCCCAATTGAAGTATGGAAATGTTTAGGCGATTTGGGAGTTTCTTGGCTTACTAAACTCTTTAATATTATTTTAAAAACTAAAAGATGTCTGAGTGGAGGAAGAGTATTTTGGTACCCATTTTTAAGAATAAAGGGGATGCACAAGAATGTGTAAATTATAGAAGAATTAAGTTGATGTGTCATACTTTAAAATTATGGGAGAGGGTAATTGAACGTAAGTTAAGATGTATTACAAAGATTTCTCATAATCAATTTGGATTTATGTCATGCAGGTCGACTATGGAAGCTATAAATTTATTAAGATGTTTGATGGAGAAGTTCAGAGATAATAAGGAG